TTTTGTTTTAGTATTTTGAAGTTGACCAATTGTTACTATAAGCAATTAATGATTATAGATGATCTGCACCGTAGATGTGAGGAGCGTGGGAAGTTAGTTAAGAAATTAGGTGAGGAAAGCGGAGTGTGTGGGAAGTTTGAGGAGAAATTTGTTTAATGAAGTTTTATTTTTTTGTGACGAAATGAACATTCGATAAACAAACTTTCGACAAAATGGGTGTCGACAAAATGAATCAGTTCCATATTCCATATTTATGGTTAGTTTACTTGTTCGTAATTCCACAACAAATGCATTAAAACACTGGAAATCAATGTTATAATATAATGATAAAATTTTTTGGCAAGAATATGAAATATTCAATATGAGATTTTTGGCATTATGTTTAAATCTCTTCAGATTGCTAGGAAATGAAAGATGTTGCATTAAAGGAGCTTCTTCAAGGTGCTAAATTTTCCCATGAATTTCCAGAAGTTATAGTGTTCCTTCCAATTTCAATAGAAGTGGTTCATTTATTAAATCAATATCCCAAAAACAATAAAGATGATGAGGAGGATGAGTGTATGGAGGATGATTAAGAAGTCAAAGATGATTATCCTAAAAATGAATACATGGAAATAGATATTCAAAGCCAGACCAAAGATGTTGATTCTGGTTTAGATGAATTTTTGGATATTTACAAATTTAAACATAAAGTTGGCCCACAGAATACAAATAAAGTTTATGTTAATGCAGCAGGTGCTGTTTGATATGGATTTGCATTTAATAATATTCAATTTAATAATAGTAAGCAAAGAACATTGATTTTGTGTGTAGAGTCAAAAAGTGGGATGATCACAGCTATAAATTCACTGAAGCTCAATTCTGCTATTTTAAAAACTGAATATAAAAGGTATGACTTTGATCTTATAGTTTTATTGACTCATTTTCAACTTAATAATAAATCATTGTATCTTAAAAGGTTTGATACGGTATCAAACATTCCTACAGATAAGTTGTTCTGTTAATTTTATCAAATACTAAATCAAAAAATGCAGAGATAAAATCATGCAAGAACATTGCATTGGTTGATGGTTACAATTTTAAAGAGTTTTATGGTTATACATATGCAGATCGGGAAGAATTTATAGCATGTATGTTTATTGATCCTACCTTTCCATTTTGATAGTAATTATAATTGATGTATATTCCTATATTTCATTTACAGCAAACAAAACAATTAATGTGAATACAGCAACACCTGAAATACTTAAAACTCTTGGCATTAAACCAGAACAAGGTCGAAAATTACATAAATAATGTGAAAAAAATGGAAAGTTTATAGACATAAATGACCTGAGAACTATGTTAAAAGCAGAAAAATATTTGAAGAACAAAAATCCCAAATGGAACACAAAAAAGATGTCATTTTAAAATTTGTTTTTTTCAATATGCATCAAACTGCATTATTTTATCTTGTTGTATTCATATAGATAAAAAAGCTCTTCCTATAAAAAATAAGGTATGGAGGATTAACATAATTAAATACATTTTTTAAAAACAAATATGTTTTTTATGGTTAGAAAATTTATTCCTTTATTCCAATGATATAATAATGTGTGCATCTGTTGTTTGTGAATAGTTGGTGACATTTTGATGGTGAATTTGCAAAAGTTTACTTATAATTTTATTGTTTAACAAGAAATTTTCAATGTGGAATAATTACACATGACTGACAAATAAATACCAAATAGTGTTGTATTGTGAACAATTAATTATTTGAGTGAAGGAATAACTGATATGAATAATTAGTGTACTAGCAAATAGTTGGTTTCAAGTTAAAACTTGTCATAAATATTTATACATTGAATCTCATATTCCTTTTCTAATTAGAATTGTATATTCTATCAGCTTTCCAGAATGTTCAGAATTATGGATAATATAAACAGGGCTGGGAAAACTCTATTGAATGTTATATATACTATAATTTGATATTATTATCAGGGCTGGTCACATAAAGGGCTAAAATCCTAGTTTGGTAATAATTGTCTTGACTTAATAAATATTAATAATGATGGACAGTCAGGATTATTCCCGATTTGGATAATGATCAACTGTCATGTTATTTTATTAGAAGAAAAATGATTGGCTAAATTTTATGCAGATCTTTTGTTAAGAAAGTTTTTAGGTTTAGGACATATATTAATATTAGCTAATAGAAGCACTCACCCCCACCCCAGATAAGACATTTTGATCACATCTACAACAATCATTCGCCTCTTTTAGGTATCAACAAAGCATAAGCAAAAAAAGAATTAATTTTGTTAATAAATCATTGTATTTTGATTGTAAATTTTTGACAAAAATCCTACTTTTTTTTAGAATTAAAAAATAATCATTTTCCTTCAATCCTTGACTTTTGCTAACAAAAAGAATAAACAGTAATTGCAACCAATTATTTTAATATCATACCCAAATTGAACTTCAACATTCCTGCATACCTCTTCTTGACAATTTTCACTTTATTGCAGCACCAGCAAATATATATAACAATGACATTCAAGATTTTGAAGCTGAAGAATGTTTAATAAATAGTTGTATGTCATTATAAGTTGCAATAGTAAAAAAAAATTATTGAGAAACTGAATTATTATATTATAAATGTCAATCAAATAATAACAATTTTAATAATGATAATATCTTTAAATGAAGATATTTCTAGTTTCACAGAACTAACTAAAGAATTATATTTCAACCATTAGTTGATTACTTCCTTGCTTTTTACAGTGGCTCCATTAGTTATTTTGACCTTCACAAAATAAAATGCCAGCCACTCAACAACATCACTAAAAAAATAAAATTCATATCACAAAGTATTCACATTTTAAACTTTGTTCTTGTAGCATACCATTGAAATCAGTGTTGGAGTTGCACCAGGTTCAAATGGATATTAATCATCAGTGGTTTCATAAAATTTTTTAAAAATGCCACCTATAAAACATTCTTTCACTGAATATATCACACTATTAAATGAAAAGGCCAATAAATCTAATCATTATGTGCTGTCATTTTTGTAAAATTAAATTAACTAGTACTAAAAAATTGGTAACTTTTCATTTAAAAAATTGTACAATATTCAATGAACAATATACTGAACATGAACAAGATTCTTTTTCCTGAAGACAAGAATAATCAATATAGAGAGATTTCTAGCAAAAACCAAGTGTAAGCATAGCAAATTTTTTTGAATGATGATCTCTACAAAATACATTACACATATGTCTTTGATATATAAGGTGAAGATTTCAGATAAATATAATTATTAAGCAAAATAAAACCTATAATTTTAC